CCCCCAGCCCTGCCCCCCCCCCAGCTCTGCTGGTGCCCCTCACTCCCGACCCGCAGCCCCTGCCAGCCCAGCTCTGTCTGGGTCAGATCAAGGGTCCATCTAGCCCAGTATCCTGTCTTCCGACAGTGGCCAGTGCCAGGTGCCCCAGAGGGAATGAACAGAACAGGGAATCGTCAAGTGACCCATCCCCTGTCGCCCATTCCCAGCTTCTGGCTGTCAGGAGCTCAGGGACACCCAGGGCATGAGGCTGCATCCCTGGCTAATATCCCTAGCGTCTGTGAACTTAGCTAATTCTCTTTTGAACCCTGTTATACTTTTGGCCTTCACAACATCCCCTGGCAAGGAGTTCCCCAGGTTAACCGGGCGTTGTGTGATAAAGCACTTCCTGTTGGTTGTTTTAAACCTGCTGACTATTAAATTCATCAGGTGACCTCTCACTTTGTGTTATGCCAAAGGGTAAATAACACGTCTCTGTTCGCTTGCCCCACCCCAGCCCTGGTTTAATAGACCTCGATCATATGCTCCCTTAGGCGCCTCTTTTCCAGGTTGAACAGCCCCAGTCTGATTAATCTCTCCTCATACGGCAGCCGTTCCAGACCCCTCATCATTTTTGTTGCCCTTTTCTGAACCTTTTCCAATTCCAATCTATCTTTTTTCCGATGGGGCGACCACATCTGCACGCAGTATTCAAGATGTGGGGGTACCATGGATTTAGAGAGGCAACATGATATTTTCTGTCTTATTCTCTATCCCTTTCTTAATGATTCCCAACATCCTGTTCGCTTTTCCGGCTGCCGCTGCACATTGAGTGGATGTTTGCAGAGAACGATCCACAATGACTCCAAGATCTTTCTTGAGTGGCAACAGCTAATTTAGACCCCATCATTTTATATGTATAGTTGGGATTATGTTTTCCCATGTGTGTTACTTTCATTTATCAACACTGAATTTCATCTGCCATTTTGTTGCCCAGACACCCAGTTTTTGAGAATCCTTTTGTAGCTCTTCGCAGTCTGCCTGGGACTTAACTATCTTGAGTAGTTTTGTATCATCTGCCAATTTTGCCACCTCACTGTTTACCCCTTTTTCCAGATTGTTTATGAATAAGTTGAATAGGACTGGTCCCAGTACAGACCCCTGGGGGACACCACGATTTACCTCTCTCCATTCTCAAAACTGACCATTTATTCCTATGCTTTGTTTCCTATCGTTTAACCAGTTACCAATCCATGAGAGGACCTCTTATCCCATGACAGCTGACTTTGCTTAAGAGCCTTTGGTGATGGACCTCGTCAAAGGCTTTCTGAATATCTTAGTACACTATATCCACTGGATCCCCCTTGTCCACATGCTTGTTGACCCCCTCAAAGAATTCTAGTAGATTGGTGAGGCATGATTTCCCTTTACTAAAACCATGGTGACTCTTCCCCAACAAGTTATGTTCATCTCTGTGTCTGACAATATTGTTCTTTATTATTGTTTCAACCAGTTTGCCCGGTACTGAAGTCAGGCTTACAGGCCTGTAATTGCTGGGATCACCTCTGGAGCCCTTTTTAAAAATTGGCGTCACATTAGCTATCCTCCAGTCATCTGGCCCAGCGGCTGATTTAAATGATCGGTTACAGACGACAGTTAGTAGTTCTGCAATTTCACATTTGAGTTCCTTCAGAACTCTTGGGTGAGACCATCTGGTCCTGGTGACTTATTGCTGTTTAATTTATCAATTTGTTCCAAAACCTCCTCTAATGATACCTCAGACTGGGATTGTTCCTCCGATCTGTTACCTAAAAAGAATGGCTCAGGTTTGGGAATCTCCCTCACATCCTCAGCTGTGAAGACCGATGCAAAGAATTCATGTAGTGTTCCTGCAATGGCCTTGTTTTCCCTGCAGGGTCTCTCAGCACCTTGATGGGCCACTGGCCCCCCTGGTTGTTTGCCGGCCTCCCTGCTTCTGATGGACTTGGAAAAGTTTTGCTGCGGGTTTGTGCCCCTTTAGCAAGCTGCATCCCCGCCCGGCTCGTTGCATGTCTCTGGCCGCGGGCTGGGCTCCAGTCTGGCTCCGGCTGGCGGGGCAGTTTCCCAGGGCGCCCGTTTGTGCCGTTCGGCCCCGTTCCTCGGCTGCTGAGCCGTGGGGGAGGCGCTCGGGTGCCCGGCACCCTCACAGCCTGGGCCTGGCTCAGGG